TGTTGGGACACCGAGCATCGGGAGGCTTTTGACAGGGTCAAAGACAGCCTCCTTCATGAACCATTATTGGGTGATCATGTTCGAACCTCGCCAGCATAAGGCTATGGAGAAGAACTTCCTAGTCCACAACAGGACTTTTTTGCGATGAAATTATACGCTGGTCAAGTTCCGGGTGCACCTTCTTGGCTCAAAGCCGTTTGTGATCTACACAGATTAGACATCATTACGCGCTGCGACTCAGTCGCCTCACCCTTGCAGAGGATGGCCAGGTGTCCCTCATTCTTTGCAGAATAAGACTTCGAGGTGAAGTATAAGCCAGGAAGCAGAATGCTTTGGTTGATGCATTGTCATACAGACCGGATTATGAGCTTGCTCATGTCACGACGGCGACGTCGACAATGACGGATTTGATCCGCGCCGCATACGTGGGTGATGATGGTATGTGCGTAGCGCTGCTTCATGCTCTCGGGAGCAAGGAGATTAAAAACTCGAACAAGAAATTGTCGGCGCGATTGCGCCCACAATTACACCGATATCCATCAAATCACGGGTTTGATGGATACGTCACGAATTGTGGCTCCTCACGACGAGGATTCGAAATATTGTATCCTCTGTGATACCCAAGACACCCCACTCAGTGGTCATCTTGGTCGTGAGAAGACGCACAGCTCTGTGAGTCGCCATTACTGGTGGTCCAAGATGTACAAATGAACGAGCTCATATGTGAGACGTCTCAAAGGGTGGAGCCCTCTCAGAATGCAGTGGTGCCGCTGACCAGTTTACCGGTATCCTACGTGTGCTGGCATTCCATGAGTATGGTCTTTGTGTTTGGCCTGCCGAAGACTCGGCGGGCAACACGGGTGTGGTTGTCTTTGTGGACCGTTTGATCATCTTGCGACAGCGCCGGACACCATCGACGGTGTGGGTACAGCAACGCTGTTTGTGAATTGTGTAGCTCGACAACATGGACTCCCGGAGTCAATTGTCTCTCGTAAAAATTCATGCTTTACTGGGAGGATTTGGTTTTCAGGGTGCTGGGCACCAAGTTGGCTATTTCAACAGCGAACCGTCCGCAAACCGATGATCAGACTGAGCGCGTGAATTTTGCCGCCGAAGATGTTCTTCGCAGCGTATGCGCTGAGACGCCGAAGCGCTAGAGCGCCATGTTGCCACGCGTAGAGTTTGCTCTGAACAATGCAGTGCATTCATCTACCGGCTACACACCGCTCTACGTGAAAGGGCTTGTTAATCGCGCCCGCTGACGGCGTTATACCATGGCTCAGAGCTTGGTGAGGGAGGAATTGCTGAACGGCTGGCGGATGAGGCCTTGCGTTTACGCTAAACCTTCCGAGAAGGATGCGCACCCACCCGGTGTTTTATGTGGGCTTGCTTAAGTCGTACTGGGATCCGGCGCTAGTGAACGCGAAAGCGTTGGCGCCGGGGTTGCGCCCAAAGACGCTCGCCCACCCAGAAGCTGAGCCAGCAACTGGTTTTGACATGGATGGCAGCAATTTTCCGTTTCCAATGACGCAAGGCGCTCCACCGTCGCACGAAGTAACGTATTCTTTTGCTCGACGACTAGGAGCCGCTCCGAAAGAGCGCGATGGTCCTCAATGTGAGGCAGTTGGTGCACAAAAAGCTTCAAGCTATCGAGGTCTTCCGCATAGCGGTAGACGAACTCGGAGAGAAGCTCAGCACAGAGCCGATGACAGCGGACTTTGTCCTCCAAAGCTTAAAGGGCATCGCTAGTCACCGAGCGACGATCGACCAAGTCGTCATTGCCCGCCGCTTCTCGATGAGAATGGTGGCATCCACTACCCCGTGGAACGCCTTGTGGGTCAACGTCGTCGACAGGGTCTAATTCAATATCTTGTGAAGTGGCGGGGACACCAGACACCGAGAAATCGTGGGAGTTTGAGGTGTCACTTTGGTAAGACTGCCCAGACGTCGTGGATGCTAATGATCAGAAGGATCATGACGTTCAGCGTCGTCGAGCACCCCGCGCTTTTCTGCAATAGACCAGGAAGCGGATGGGCCACGAGCTGAACTCAGGCTATGGCTCTGAGCTGCTGTGGTCGTAGACGCACCCGTGTCAGAAACCACAGAGCTCGCGAGAGCGTGATGGATTATTCCATGTGTCGCAGGGTGACAATACGAAGGAGTCGGCGTTGCGCCTTGAGTTTGGCAAAATCAAATCGAAGTCGGCTCGTCCACTTCCTTGTGGCTCTGCTGTAAGTGAGACAGGGAGGGAAGTTTCCGGTGCTGCTGCACCCATCGCATAAAGAGCTCTTCACCAGCTGCAGCGACGAGCACCACAGGAATATTCGCATAGCGGGTCCTCTTTGAGCGCGAGGTCGAGCGCGGTACCTATACATTGGAATTTCTTGAAGTACCAAGAAGCGAGCGCGGGGAGCTTTTCGCTGGTCAAGATC